CCAGACGTCCTCGGAGAACCCCTGCTGCCGCCCAGAGTCCGTCGAGAGGCCCCCCGGCCCAGGCACGGTGGCAAGCCGGGCGGCAGGCCACCGGGCACCCTCCGGGCTGCCTGGGCTCTCCCCTCCGCCACACTTCCACCGCTCGCCTCCCTCCCCCCCTCTGCCTCCGGCCGGTGCCCCTGCCCCCTTGTTCTCGGCAGCCCCCGCGATCGGTCGTGGGACGAATCGGCGCCGAGAGGTGCGACGATCCAGCTCTTCTCTCTCCAGCGCTCCAGCCTTCGCGGCGCCAGGCCGCTCGTCGGGAGCGCCCGGAGAGGAACGCAGACGGCTGCGGTCGCACGGGGCGTGCTGCTGCGTGCATGCTGCCGCCCACGCGCCCCCTCTCCTCCCCCGCGAGGCTTTCCCCCCCCCCCCCCCCACACCCACACCTTTGCAACAGGGGCGCCCTCGGTGGGCGGCGCGTGCCAGGGGGTAAGGGGTAGTCAGCGAGCGAAGAACGGTATGAAATAAACTTTTTCGCTGTCGGGGGCGCCTGTCCCTGGGCGGCTGGAAAGTTTATACCCCTACGGTGGCAACCTGAGGGTATAAACTTTCCAGCCGCCATTGGGCAGTTGTCCCCGACGGCGAAAAAGTTTATTTTATACCATTCTTCGCCCGTTGAGGTAGGGGGGGCAGTTCCTCAGAGAAAAGCTGCTTCTGAGACGGCGCCGGCCTTGCATCTGCGCGTCAGGCCCGCGCCCTCTAAGAAGCAGGGGTGCTTCTGAGAAACGTTCCCCCCTGCCCCCCACCCCTTGTGCGCGTGGCCGAGTCGGATGCTCCGCTCCAGACGCGGGCGGCGGACGGTGCCGTGCTGCCCTGACGCCCGACAGGAGCTGGCACTCCCACGGGCCCGAACAGCAGGGCGCGAGGCCTCCCGCTGGATGGGGGGAGGAGGGGGGGGGCTGTTGGTTTGCCTTCTGCGAGACGAGCAGACGAGCAGATCATATGACCGATTCAATCGTGAGGCTGCCGGCGAGGAGCGCGAAAGAGGTCACCCAGCGCACCGATCGGGGTGATCGCGGGGTCGCTCCAAGGGTGCAACCGATCCGACGGACCGACGTCCGGTGACGCCCTGGACGAAGTCGGCACGCGGCCAGCTGTCTCCTGACGGAGCACCGGACGGGGGTGACCCAGGGCCTGCGAGCACCTGCTGGGCTGTAGGAACCTCTGGGGAGCACGGCGTGGTGGGAATTCTCTGGCACCCCTGGAGAATCGCAGCGCAGGCCAAGTCGTCGCTTCCTCAAGACCGCCCTGGCGACCGTACTTCCGCCGGGGGCACGTAAAACAATGGGGTTAGAAGAACACCGCTCCAAGCCGCCTCTGGAAGAAGGAAGTGCGAGCATCCAGCTGGGTTCGTTCCCTGGCCCCACCTTGGGGAGGAGGAGTTTTTTTTTTGCACTCCACGCTCAGCGCCTCCAGAGCCTGACTAACAGGCGGCCGCACTAGCAACGGAGGGAGGTGCCAGTGCCGTCAAAGAAATAGGTCAGTCCGAGTCGTCAGCAAGGCATCTCTGACCAACAGCCGGAAGCAAAGGCTGCGAGTCTTCCTCCATGCGGAGGCTGGACACAACACTCGAAAACTGCTGAGCTTCAGAGCGACCGACTGGTGGAAGGAGGGGGACGGAGGAGGGGGAGGAGGAAAGACTGAAACATGGCATGCGGTTTTCAATATTGACCCTCACCCCTGCTTGCTGCTGCCTGAAATGCGGATGCTGTCCCTTGGAGAGAACATTCCACCCGTACTTGGCAACACGAGACGGCGGAGGCTGTCACTTTTGGGCCAGGCCTCGGATCTGTCCGCCGCTGCTGACATTTGCAACGCGTGCAGATGAATAGAACCGAACCGTCGCTGCAATCAAACGTAATTGTGCGGTGCTCCAAAGCATCTTGTCTCGAAGCGTGCAGCGGGGAGTCCTGGGGGCAAGTGCCCGGAGGTGGCTGCTCGGCACGGCCCCCGCGTAAACGCACGGCGCACCTCCAGATGCTCCCCCATCGTTCCCAACGGTGGCCCGAAGCAGCTGTCGCGGCATGAGTGTATTTCACCCTCTCCGCCGTCGGTAGGTCCACGTCGGGCCATAGATGGAGCATATTCGCGGCAAGACGAATCGTCTCGCGAGCATACATCACCTGCTTGTCAATGACCTCCAGCCGAGACTCGTCTCGCGGGTGTATACATGTGGCGTGCTTCGCCGCCAAATCCGCATGGTGATTGCCAAGCCTCCGCCAACGCTCCGTGCCGTCGATTCCGGCCTCATCGATGTCACGGTGAGCGGCGACCTTGACGCAATCGGCCGGTGGAGCCCTTCCCTGAGCATATATCTGCAAAAACGCCCCTGAATACACTCGTTTGCCCGAAAGCTGTTCAACCTTTGGGCGACAAGCTTGTTTGACAACGTTACTGCAATCGGAGAAAACAGAGAAAGCGGCCGAGCTGAGCACCGTGGCCCACGTCAGGCAGCTGAATTCGGCCGACTGGGGAATCTGAGGATAGGGAGCCCAGACGGGAGCACGAAACTCGGCGACGGCATCTCCAGCATCGTCAACCATCACAACGCTGCTGGCGGCTCGGGAGAGCTACCGGACAGGATGTTTCGTGCAACTGCCATCCACAAAAAGAGAACCCCACATTTCAGTCCGAGGAACATGTCTCCGAGGGTGCAAACTATCCTGTCGGTGCCACACAAGGTGCGGGCCATCATCCGACTCGGTAAGGGGCCGAGGGTAGGAGTCGGCGGGATGGCGAAAAACCCCAGAAGTACAAAGGAACACATCGTTGCTGCCATCGGACTCCTTAGCTGTCAAAGCAGCAGCCACTGTGCTATCATCAACGAGCTCCGATCGAAACGCCACGATTGGCTCGTGGGTGCATTCCCAAAGCCTGTGGAAGATGGTATCGAAAGCTCCGCAAAACGGGCAAAGCCCATCGACCAAATATCCTTTACATCGCGCTCCAGATCCGTGAAGAAAGCTTCCGTGGCGAAAGCCCTGATGCGAGCCTTCTGTAAGGCCGAGTATTTCTTACTATTCAGCGCTTCACGAACAATGTCATAGTAAATGCGGGGGAGGATGCCACGCTTTTCGCCAGAATCGCGCTCGAGCATTCTGAAATACCCGTCCCGAACCAAGAGTTTCACCAGCGCCGGGGCAAAAATCCCAAGAGGGATAAGGAAGCCACGGTCATCTCGCATGGTCATAAAATTATCCATCTGCCACCCAAGCCGCACCAAGCTCATGCGAGGCGCGGACACTGGCCCAGCAACTCTCCTCCAGGAGCAGGTCTGATCGGCGAACACCGATTGCCAAGCCTGGCGGAGGGTAGTGAGCGGAAGGGCCCACTGGAACGCACCAGTCTGGCATAACCAGATTTCCTTAGACCAACGGACAATGGGAGCAGTGGCCGTGCGCCAGCACGGATCGAAATCGAGCAACGCCGCAGTCGTCAGCGAACGAAGTTGCGAGGTCGGCCTCACGACAGAAAACACTCGCCTGCGCAACAACAACAAGTCCCAATCACTAATGCCGGTGACCTCTGGAGGAGGAGGAGGAGGAGGAGGAGGAGGAGGAGGAGGAGGAGGAGGAGGAGGAGGAGGAGGAGGACCCCGTCTACGAACCCACTGATGCTTGCAGCGGCCGTGGTCCTCCTCGGCACCGGCGTACTTCGCCAGGAGCTCGTCCACGTCTCCGAGCTTCGCGGGGTTCTTCCGCCTGTAGACGTCGCGGATCAGCGCCCCGAAGCGTGCGGCCGCGGCCTTGGACGCATTCCCCCCAATGGCAGGCCTGGCCAGCCAGCCGACGTTGTTCCGATGAGGACGAGGCCCTTACGTGGCTGCGCAAAATGAATGGGATTTTCTTTTGTTTGTAAAAACAAATAAATGAATAAGGAAATAAAAAAAATAAAAAAGTATAATGAATGGGAGGATCGCCAGGCGGCTTTGTAATGATCCATGCGTTCCCCACCGCACCGAGCGTTCTCCCTGCACCCTCCCTCCCGCCCCTGCTCTTCGCGCTTGCGATCAGACGTGCAGTCGAGGGCCGACCGGGCGTGCGCAAGGCGCGTTCGGTATTTGCCTGTACCCCTCGATCTGTTCCCTGTTCTCAGAAATCGAACATCCCGGCGGAGGGGTGGAGGGTGAAAGGCGGGCACCCTTGAGCTCTTCAACGCATCTTTTGTGGATCCAAGAACTGCCGCGATATGCCACCAAGTCCCCGAATCTCCCCTACTTGCTCAAGGTAGTTCCCAGGATGTCACATAATTGCTAAAGTTGGCGATCTTGGGGCCAATTTGGCTAGGTTTGGGCCGCCTGGGCCCGCTGGATCACTCTCGGGGCCAACTTCGCCACTCTTGGGAGTCTCGCGGGCCATCTTGGAGGTCCTGGGGGCTGGCCCAAGATGCCCAAATCGGCTGACAATTCTTTAAAACTTCGCGCGTGTGTGATCAATGTTCTCGCCGCATTGGTCGTAAGAGCGTCTAGAGCGGCCCCAGACCCCCTCCAGACCAGTCCTAGATGGCCCAAGATGCCCCCCAAACGGCCCCAAGAGGGCCCCCCCCAAACACGCCACTACGGCAGCGCTGAAAGCCAATCTTTCCAGCATGATCCCAAGACTCCAAGAGGCCCACAGGAGGCCCGAAGACGTACCAACGCGGGCCACAAAAGCCCCCAGGAGCCCAACAAGAGGCCCCCAAAGATCCCCAAACATGTTTGCAAGGCCCCTGGAAGAGGACTGCGAAATCTCTGCCCTCGCATGAAAGCCAACACTACCCCTTGCCCCCGTCCCCCTTCCCTCCTTGCGCCCAAGCCGCTCACTTCTCATGGTCAGCGGCGTCGGCCGTACGGCCACTGCAGGACAGTCACCGTGCCACTAGAAGGAGCGCTGAAGGAACGACATGGATTTCCAGGCCATAGCGGGCACCGGCCAGGAATACGTTCCACGACCGGGATCTGAGGATCGGCCGTAGTACCCAAAGCCCCCTCGAAGCCCAAAGTGGTCCTCACTTCAGCGCCTAGACTGCACCCTCAAGGGCCCAGACCCAAACAATCGCAGGATTCTTGGGCGCTCCTGGAACTTGGCGCGCGACTTTCCTCCCAGCCATGGACGCCTCGTTCGGGTCTGGAACTTCCACGTTGCTGTGTGATGGTCGCATGGGCCCGTCTTGGAGCCTGCTTGGGGACCTCTTTCTTGGGCAGGCTCCCAGGACTTCTAAGAACCTCCAAAATATGTCCCCCAGCACACCGCCCAACATGCCTCCAACAGGCCTCCTGTCCAAGACTTGTGGGCCCGAAGCCACTTGATACGCCCCCCCCTGCTGATTCATCAGCCCCTGGGTCCTCTCCATCGAGTCCCCCAACTGCCCTTCGACCCATGCCGCCCCCTCCCCCCGGTAACTGTGTCCTTAGACGTCTCGAAATGCACCCAACACTTCCAAGATGGCCCCCCTGTCCCACCGAGACCGTCTGCTCGTTCTCATCTTCCTCCTTCTCCCCCTCCTCCTCCTCCTCCTCCTCCTCCTCCTCCTCCTCCTCCTCCTCCTCCTCCTCCTCCCCTCCTCGTCCTCCTCGCCCTCGTCGTCGTCCTCGTCCTCATCCTCGTCCTCCTCCAGCCGCGACCCTGGCACCCTTCCCTCTTCAGGATGGGTGGCTACCGGGGTCAGGCGTGTGAGGGCGCCGTCCGGTCCGAATGTACCTGTACACCCCCGCGGCCTGCGGGCAACGGCCCCCCACCAAGACTGGAGGGGGAAGGAAGTGAACACAACGAAAGCAGCGCGCCTGCGCGGGCGGGCTGGGAGGGGGAAGGAGGTGGCGCGGACGGGGGACGGGGGGCGGTCGTCGTGTCGTCGTTCCTCTGTCTCTACCTGTTCCTCCGCACCCTCAGCCTCCTCTCCTCGTCCTTCTCTGATTCCGCCGCCTTCCCCTCAAGCTGGCCTCCTCCTTCTCCTCCTCCTCCTCCTCCCCCTCCTCCTAGGCGCCTCGGCTCAAGCCGGCCTCGGGGAGCCTCAGCGCCCTCATCGTTTACCTCCTCCTCCTCCTCCTCCTCTCCACTTTGATTCCACTCCCCTGGGTACATGGGCATCCGAGGATCATCATCATCATCATCATCATCATCATCATCATCATCATCATCATCATCATCATCATCATCATCATCAACTTCATCATCATCATCACCAGCATCATCATCATCATCATCATCGTCATCATCATCTTCATCTTCAACTTCATCATCATCACCAGCATCATCATCACCATCGTCTTCACCATCACCATCACCATCACGATCACCATCACCATCACGATCACCATCACCATTACCATCATCATCATCATCATCATCATCATCATCATCATCATCATCATCATCATCACTACCATCACCATCATCATCATAATCATCAGCATCATTCTTATCATCATCATTCTAATCATCACAATCATCGTCATCGCCATCACAATCACCATCATTCCTACCAATTATCATTACCATCACCGTCATCAACATCATCATCATAATCACCATCATCGCCATCATCACCATCATATCACCCACAGCATCAACAGCATCACCAACATAAGTATCAACATCATCCTGGTCACCATCAACATCACGACCGCTACCATCACCATCACCATCACCACCATCACCATCACCACCAACATCATCATCAGCACCGTCATCATCAATATCATCATCAGAAACATCATTATAACCACCATCATAATGATCATGCTCATCATCGTCGTCATCGTCATCGTCATCATCATCATCATCATCAACACCAATAGCATCATCGTCATCATCATCTCATCATTATCGTAATCGTCGTCATTATAACCGTCATCATCACCATTATCATGATCATGATCATCATCGCCATCCCCACTATCATCAGACTCATAGTCATCACAGTGACCATGACCAGCATCATACCCATCCTCGTAATTATCACAAGCATCGTCATCACTACCACCATCGTTATCACCAACATCCCCACCAGCATCATCAGACTCATCATCATCATCATCATCACCATCACCATCACCATCACCATCACCATCACCATCACCATCATCATCATCATCATCATCATCATCATCATCATCATCATCATCATCATCATCATTACCACAATTACCATCATCATCATCATCACCATCATCGACACCATCATCACCATCACCACCAAGATCATCACCATCCCACCATCATCACCATTAACATCACTGGGATTAAAGAGTCACTATCACGACCACCATCAGCACCATCACCATCACCATCACCATCACCATCACCATCACCATCACCATCACCATCACCATCACCATCACCATTACATTCACCATCATCACCACCACCACAACCATCATCATCACCATCATCATTCTCATCATCATCATCATCATCATCATCATCATCATTATTATCATCACCATCATCATCATCATCTCCACCACCACCACCATCACCATCGTCATCACCATCGCCATCACCATCACCATCGCCATCACCATCATCATCATCAACATCATCACCACCACAAGTTCCCTCCTCTGGAGGCTGGCGACTGGGCACCAGCCTCCAGGATCCACGTCACGGTTCTGCAGCGAAGCGTCTCGGCAGTCCAGAGATGACGTGTGTGTGTGTGTGTGTGTGGCGCCAGGGCCAAGTCACGATGCGCCAAGGGAACCCAGTTCGGATACTTTGCCATACAGTCAAGGCCAGTCCACAAGAAACCTTCCACAAGAAACCCAACCCTGAGACCCCAGGACGTCCATTGATTTTTAGTGTGGGAGCGTCACGCTTCCCATAGCAAAACCATCGAAATCCAAGAAACCCAGGGCACCCTGGAGGCAAGCAGGGTGTTTCTTGGCTTGGGCCTCCACTGTATAAACCTTTGCAACTCAAGCCCCCTTAACCTCCCCCCAGGATCCCCGCCGAGTCGCCGCCCTGTTTCCGACCATTTTGCCACCCAACAAATGCTCACAGACGGCCTCACATGGCTCTACCGAGGCCCCACATGTTCTCAGGATGGCCCTCGGAACGCCCGCGACGGTTCAAGATGCACCGAAGACGGCCCCATATTGCTTCAAGATGGCCTTGGAGGCCCCAAGACGCCTCCAAAGGGTTCTGAAGAGGACTTCCCAGAAGGCCACTGGACGAAGAATCCGTCACCATCAATTGGAAAAGCTTGCAGAGGGCCCTGAGATCGCCCCGAAGACACCCCCAGAAGCTCCCTGGCAAGACGGCCACAGAAGCCCCCGAGACGGCCCCTAAGACGACCCACGGCAGCCCCAACGTGGCCTCAGAGCCCCCCCAGACGCCACCAGAAGGGCTCTCAAAACGGCTCCCAGACGGCCCACGAGTGCCCGAAGACGGCTCCAGGCGCCCTGCAGAGGCCCCAGGAAGCCACCAAGAGGCCACAAGATGCCCCCCCAACCGGGCCCCCAGGAGGGCCCCCGACGGCTCCCACGAGCCTCCCACCTGTCCATACCCCGACGCGTTCCGAACGCGAGGCCCCAGCACGCCCCAGAGTGGCGCCCACTGGGCCCCAGGACGGCATAAAGCTGGCTGGCGGCGCGCACAAAAGGGGTGGGGGGGAGGGGGGCGGGCTTCTCAGAAGGAGGCTGCTCCTGAGAAGGCGCGGGGCCTTCCATCTGTAGATCAGGCCCGCGCCTTCCAAGAAGCAGGGGTGCTTCTAAGAAGCCCTTCCCCCCTCCCCCCTCTGCGCGCGGCTGCGCTGGCCACGGAATGCGGAACGGCCCCCCAAGGGATGGCCCGAGGGGCCCCGTGAGGCCGTCGAGAGGCCCGCGTGCTGGCTCTCCGAGGCAGCCTCTCGACGCCTCCGAAAGAGCCCGACCAAGGCGGGGTGCGCGGAGGCGCCGCGCAGGAGACCAACGGGGGGACAGGGCGGGTGGAGAGAACGACGGGAGAGCGGCCAGAAGTAGGATAAGTCGGGCACGCAAGTGGGGCACGCCCCTCTACAGGAGGAGTGTGCAAGCATGGTAAGGACATCGTACGGGCACGATTTGTCGATTATATATGTGACCATGATTGGCTATCTTTTGGACCACTCTTCATTTTCAATGTTCTTCCAGAATCCGCCTGTAGGAGGACATGCCCGACCTAAAAGTAGGGCGCAGATGACGCAGACGACGACGATACTGGCAGGCCACACCCAGGATGGCCCCATGACGGCCCAAGAGGCCCTCAAGAGGGCCTAGGACGACCTCAAGAGCGCTTCAAGGCGGCCCGCTCCAAGACGCCCCAAGAGGCCCTAAAGAGGCCTCCAAGAGGCCCCCAAGAACACTCCAAGAGGCCCCCAAGAGGCTCCCAGGAGTTCCCACAGCGACTGGACTGCACGTGGTCTGGACGTGCACACCGCGAAGCGAGAGGAATCTAAGGCGGCGGCGTCGGACTCCTGCTGCTTGCCGCCCTCGCCCTTCTGGTTGGACCCCTTGGCCTTCTTCTTGTGGTGCTCCTTGTGCTTCTTCTCCTTTTTGGCCTTCTTCTCGCGGTTCTCGGCCTTGCCCTTTGCCGACCTGTGCTTCTCCGGGGGGCCTCTGGGCTCGGTGCCTTCATCGGCGGCAGCGGCCTCGCTGCTGTCTGCCTTGCCCGCCTCCCCCTCTGCCGCCTCCGCACCGCTTTCTGCACGGCGCCGCTCGGCTTCTGACGCGCCCTCGGTCTTGGGGTGCTTGCGCTTGCGCGCCACTTTGCCCGAAGCAGCCTTCGGCTCTAGCGCCCTTTCGCGAGCCCCGGCTGCTTCCAAGACCGCCGCGAATAGCTTTTCCTCGGCCGACTCCTCGACAACGCCGACTTGCTGCCTGCTGTCGTTGGCACACGAGATAGGGATAACAAAGCAGACACAGCACGAGGCGCCAATCTGTTCACCAACCCTCCGGTGTGCAGTTGGGACCTCCTGTTGAACCCGCAGCACCTCGCGTCTCCTCCGTTCTTCTTCTCCTCCTCCTCCTCCTCCTCCTCCTCCTCCTCCTCCTCCTCCTCCTCCTCCTCCTCCTCCTCCTGCTCCTCCTCCTCCTCCTCCTCTCCTCCTCCCCCTGCTGTTGCTGCTGCTGCTGCTGCTGCTACTGCTGCTGCTGCTCCTCCTCCTCCTCCTCCTCCTCCTCCTCCTCCTCCTCCTCACTCTTCTCTGGACTCTTCTTGCCTCTGCCGCCCTCCGCAGGTCCATTCCGACCCCCCCCCGCGCACACGGATCGTGGCCACCTGCGGCCCCAATGGGCAAGTCCGCATGCGTTCCTCCCGCTTCTTTCGCTTCACCCCTCACGCAGAACCTGCCCCAATAGGGAGCTCCTCCGGAGCCCCCCGTCGGGCGAGTTCGCATGCGCCCCCCCGCCCGCTTCGGTCCACCCCTGCTCCACCGACGCAGGCCCCAGCGATCAAGGTGTGCGCAGTTCCCCCCGCCAATGTCGTTGCACCCCTCACGCAGATCGTGCTCCAAGAGGGAGCCACCGACGGCCCCAGTGAGCAAGTTCGCATGCGGTTCCCCCCCGCCCCTTTCGGCACAACCCTCGCGTGGGTTGCGCTCCCCAAGGGGAGCTCCACCGAAGGCCCCAACGGGCATCCGCCCACATCTGACACATCCCTCGCACGTCTCCTGGCCTCAGGGGAGCTCCACCGCAGGCCCCAATGGCAGAGCCCGCCAGGCGCCCCCCCCGCCCAATTTCGGCGCGCCTCTCGCACGTCTCTCTGCAGGTCGGGAAAGGGGTGTGGGATTAAAGGGTGTGGGGCCAGTGCTAAAAAACGGCGACGTTATCTACGATGGCCGCACATGCTCTACATCGCGATTGAAACAACGTTGGCTTCGCGCCGACCGCCTGAAACGACGCCAGAATTCTGGATTCGAAATTCCCCAGACGGCCGAAGTCCTTTGTGATCGGCAGCGCAACAGCCTGTTCCAAGCGAGACTCCCGTGGCCCCACATGGGAGCTGCTCCGAAGGCCCCGTCGGTGGAGCCCGCCTGACGCCCCCCCGCCCCCTTTCGGCGCATCCCCGGGGTGTGGGGGGGAAAGCAGGAGGAGGAGGAGGAGGAGGAGGAGGAGGAGGAGGAGGAGGAGGAGGAGGAGGAGGAGGAGGAGGGGGAGGAGGACCAGTGCAAACCCAAGACTCATCAACGATTTTGAGTAAGCCCTCCCTCCAAGCCCCCTCTTCAGAGGTCCCTACAAGTATGGATGTCCACTGGGGAAAGCGCCCCCTTGGGAGACAACCGTTTGAGGATCCGAAACCGTGCCAAAACACCATTCGGGACTCCAGCACCATGAATCATCTTCACTATTGCGTCTTGACGATCCTGAATCGAACCAGAACGCCGCTCCTGCGACTTCAACACCACGAACCAACGTAACTGTTGCGCCCTGGCAATCATGAGTCGTTCCAGAACACCACTTCTGGTACGTTAGCCATGGGATCTCGTGAACGTCTTGTACATGTTTGAAACGAATGTGCGCGGCGCTAAGGCGAGAGCCACAGGTTGAAAAGGAGCCGTCCTCAATCCGTGAAGCTCTTGCGTTTTTATATAAAAACGAGTGTGCGCGGCGCTAAGGCGAGAGCCACATTTTGAAAACGGTCCGCCCTCAAATCCGTGAAACTGTTCCAACATTTGAGAGCGAATATGCGCGGCGCCTGAGCGAGAACCACATTTTGGAAGCGACCCACTCTCCATCGGTGAAATTGTTGCCAATTCCTAAGCTTGAGGGTCCCACATGGTAAGGGGGCATCAAGCGAAACGCCCGGCCCGCCGTTCCGACTGGCCTCGGGGTGCGACAGGGCAGAGTTATTTATAAGGAACAGGAATGGAGGATGAGCAACAGCAACAACGACAGCAGCAGGTACATGATGAGCAGGAAGAGCAGGAGGACCAGGGGAAGGCGGAGGAACGCAAGGGAAGGGGGACAACATCGACGAGGAAGGAATCGAAACTAGAAGCGTGGCCCGCGCGAGGGCGAGAACGCATCTCTGGACGCCAGGAGCAAAGCGTGGATCCTGGCATGCGGGCAACGATGCAGCGGAAGCGCTATTAGTTAGGACCGAAGTGGTCCGATGGAACTCACGCGCGCGCAGCAACGCCGACTTCTGAAATCCTCGGCGTCCCGACACAATACAATGTCAGGGGATAACAAAGATACAGTAGTGCTAGCACGGTGCAGCCGTGGAAGAATACGCTCGTCCACTCGGTCCCACTCCTACTTCACTTCGCTGCACCTCTTGCTCGGCAGCGGCGTGCGCAGCAACGCGGCGAGATCGACGAACGCAGCCGACGCGCGCACCAGGAGGAACTAGCGCGGCAGAAGAGGCGGTCTCGACGGGGCAGAGGAGGCGGTCTCGCCCATGGCGAGCAACGCAAGGACCCCGTCTTCTTCCGCAAACTCCTCCTCCTCCTCCTCCTGCTCCTCCTCCTCCTCCTACTCCTCACCCTCCTCCTCCTCCTCCTCCTCCTTCTCCTCCTCCTCCTTCCCCTCCCTTCTCGTCCTTCTCCTCCTCCTCCTCCTCCTCCTCCTCTTGCCCCCTCCTCCTCCTCCTCCTCCTCCTCCTCCTCCTCCTCCTCCTCCTCCTCTTCCCCTCCTCCGCCCTCTTCTTCTCCTCCTCCTCCTCCTACTCCGCCTCCTCGTCGTCCTGCTCCTCGTCGTCGTCGTCCTCCTCGTCCTCCTCGTCGTCCTCCTCGTCGTCCTCCTCGTCGTCGTCTTCCTCCTCCTCCTCCTCCTCCTCCTCCTCCTCCTCCTCCGCCCCCGTCGCCTGCGGGGGTCCGCGGACGCGCGCCCGCCCTCGGGGCTCGCGTCTGCTGCGTCCTCGGTCGCCTCGGCGGCCAAGGGGGGGGCGAGGAGGGGAGGGGAAGGGGCGAAGGGGGCGGGGGGGGGGCGAAGGGGAAGGAGGGGCGAAGGGGGCGAAGGGGGGGGGGGGCGGGAGGGAGCGCGAGGCAGAAAGCGAAGGGTCTCTCCGCTCAAATCACGGCCGGAGCCGCGCACGCGAGGGATGGGCTCCACCGGCAACCCACGACCCCACCGACCGTGTCGTCGGGCCCACGCATGCCGACGAGCCACGCAATGTGCAGGGAAGGGGGGGCAGCGGGACGGGGGGCCAGCGTGCGAAGCGGCTGGGACCTCAGCGAAGGAGGGGGAGGAGGAAGAGGAGGAAGGAGGATAAACACGATAATGATGATGCTGCTGCTGCTGCTGATGATGCTGCTTATGATAATGGTGACGATGATGCCGAATTCTGACCACTGCGGCAGGTTGGCTTCCAGTCACGATCGTATTTGTTCCGCCAGCTGTGCTGGCCAACCATCAGAGAGAGTCGCAATACAACACTTCCTATGCTTGAGACACAACCCGGCGATCCTTTCCGCGGCCCCGACGACAATCGCTAAGTTTCTGAATGTAGCAATTCTGAAGGCGACCGCTCCGACATCGTCGGCGCAACATCTGACTATCCCCCGCTTGGGGTGGTTCACTTGCTCGTCGAATTGGCACGTGACTAGGTGGGGGGCGATGGCATGCAGGACTTCTGAAGCCAGGCGGCCTTGAACGCTTCCAGAGGTGATAAAAAGAGAAGCTGCCAAATGCCCCCCTACCTGACCTGAGCAAGCTAGGTTCTGGTATATGAGGTGGAGGAACGAGAGCAGCGGGGGGGGGCTCGAGAGTGGGAGGATGCGGGAGATTCAATCGTGATCCAGCGACGGGAAAGCTTTTCCAACATCGAAAGAGCCAAAAGCGGATTACTTCGGGCCTGTTCTCTAATGCCAGCGGCCCTAGCCTAATCCTATAATGTTTTGTCCGTGGTTCGCCCCGCATAGAAAACCCTGTTGAATTGGGCTCACAATCTCAGGGGCTCTACGTGCTGCTTGTTTAGCACGCGCTCGTGGGCAGCTTGCAATCGTCAATTTTTGAATCGAGTGACCAGGCAGCCGCGGGCTCGCGGATCAGGTCATCAACTCCAGGGCCCCCGTCAACATCTTTTGGAATGAAAGCCCGTCTCATCTCGTCAAGGTCGAGAAGCAAGCCGTTTTCCGCAAGGGCCCGATCGAGTATCTGCTCGAGGAGATCTGTGCCCGCTGAATGGTGGCGCCACGCTCCATGCGGCAACCCGTCGGTTTTAGGCGCGCTCGCTGGCAACCTGCGGAAAAGAGAGAGAGGATGTCTGCTAGGTGGGGGGGGGAGGTCGCTGAGGTCGGCAGTGAAGCCGAAGCGCTGCAATAATGCCCCATCGGCCTCCGCGTCTCTGTTTCGAAGCAAAGATTCGCCCTCTATGTGATGCTAGGCCCCTGGGAACAGCTTTCGGATCCGCGGTGATCTGGCCCCGCTGCTGTAGGCCCCGGAGGCAGGGGCGACGGCTGCATTTCCCCCAAAGTTGCCCGCGAAGCAGAAGGCCACGAAGCTCGCGACGCTGTTTAGCTCTTTCGTTCTCACTAGAGGCAGCCTGCCACTGAGCTCGAGCGTCGGCTTGTGAACGTTGGTGAACGTCTGCTTGGAGAGAGCTGGTCATCTCCGAAAAAGGCTCTGGCTGCAAGAGGGTGGCCGAGCCGTTCGTGGAGATCGAGACACTGTCGAGCGAGAACAGCGCGAGTCCGAGAAAGCTTCTCCCCCATGACATAGCCGCGGCGAATCATGGCCAGGCTGATCGATGTCAAAGCGAGGAGTTTCGAGATCGGGCTGTTCGGACGTTTTCTCATCGCACGTTCCCTCGCTGCTCTGGCGGACCTCCGCATCGTCTGCTTGCGACCAGTCGAGCAGCGGTCGGGGGCTCATGCCCTCAGCGTCCACAGCGTCGAAGACTTTCTTCAAATGCTCCGCGTGAACTGGGGACTCGTAAACTCGGGGTGGGCGGCTTTCCGCTCGTCGGGGATCTCGTTGCAGGTCCGAAGCTGGGCGACCAGCGCTTAGTGATCAGACAGGCCTGTCCTGTCGAGCGCATCTGGTGACCCCTTCGCGTTGGCCGTGGCGTCAAGCTGCGCCGACGCCCAGCTGGCAGAGAAATAAAAATCCAGTTGATGGCCGAGAGCGCGCCTCGCGGCGGGCAGAAATGCGTCGGCTCCGCCGCCGTGAACTCGACGAGATTCTGGAAGCACCACTCCCAGTCTGGATGTCGCTGACCTCTCCGCTCGGTCTGAAATGAGTTTTCGGCCCTATTCCCAGGAATGCCCGCGGAGTCCAGGGAGATCGCCGCCGCGGGGGCGCTGGAAATCTTGAAACCGCCCGCGACAAGGACTATCTGGTGAGGTGCCTCCTGAGCCCGCCTCCTATCTACTGCTGCAGCCTCGAGGATTCGGTTCCCAGTGGCCGCGTCCAGACCAAATTTGTGAATTCTGTAATATCTGGCCTCCGCGCGCGAGGGGGATCAAATGGGGGAAAGCGAACCGTCGACCGCAAACCCTGCCCTGGACCGCAACTTCGTGGATGATCTCCGGCATCCGGGAAGGGTGGCTGTCGGCGAAGACAGGTGCGAAGGTGATGGCGCCGCCCGCGGGGTGGGGAATTCGGGGGGGACGGAGGAGAACGCTTGAACAGGCCGATGGAGGTGTTATAGGTAATCTTGAAGACCGGCACCTGGAACTAGCAGTCGACGGAGGTGAACCAATTTACGGGCACGGAGAGGGAATTTTCGATGGAATCTTGTACCTTTCCATGTCCCCAGGGAGGGAGGCAGAGGATGGGGGAGGCTACCTTGCAATTGCTGAAAGAATGTGTTACCCACTCCACTGGATTGGAACTGGGCCGCCGAGAAAAGGTGCGATGGCATGCTCAATGCGCTGACGGTCCAGCTGAAGAGCCTATGCGTTGTCCGTCGCCCATGTAATCCTTAGGGCATCGCCGTCGACGGGCTCGACGCGAAGAAAGCCCGACGGTCTGGGTGAATGAGCTCCACCTCTCCTGATCAGCTTGAGGAACAATTCTTTCTTGATCTGGCACTGAGACTCGTCTCCAGATTTCTTTGGTTGGAGATGAAGACTCGCCTCCAGAAATGTGGATATCCACCAGTATACCTTCGACATCTTGGGTCGGGAAGCGCTCCCATTGCTAAGGGCCAGTGCGAAGCTCTCTGAGCGCCATGCCGACCTTCCGTGCTGCATGTTGCTAACAGCCTTTGACTCTGATCTGAAAGCGACACGAGACAGGTTCGGCTTCCATCTGAACGTTTTCCTTCGACACCGTGGCTCTCTGCAACCACTTTCGAACCGCTGGACGTATCTGCTGCCTCGCCGTGTTGGTCTTCGTCCGCGCCATGATGATGCATTGGTCGGGGGCTGCGGTGCTGGAGTGGGCGGCTGCTCGGACTGCGTGATGCCGAAGATGTTCTGGAGCTCGCGCGCGGTGTTCTCCAAGTAATCGATTCGCTGCTTTGTGACCCGCTGGTCCGGTTCCAGCTTCGCCAATATGGTCTCGACCTGCTTGGAAATATTCGTGCAGGAAAACAAGACTGTTGAAGCCAACGATGAGACCGACAGCTGGACGGCTGTGATGGCGGCAATGGTGGCCTTAGATTCGTCCACGTACGAGCGCATCTCGCTGAACGGGTCGACGCAGTCTTCGAAAGCGCCGCCATAGGTCCTGACGACTGCGACTGCGTGGCGACGCAGGAGTGGCTGGGGGTCGACCCGCCGCATCTCGACCACCTTGCTGCTGCTGAGACGGCAAGGTGCTGAGCTCCTCGAGTTCTGTTTGCGTCTGCTCTCCGATAGTATCGAACCACGCGTCCGCATTCGGCATCCCGCGCACGCGCGGTGGTAGCGGCACCCAGCAAGGAACAATGAATGGCCGCGGAACCTGCAACGCCAGGGCAGGCTGTTGCGGGGATCGAGAGGTGCCCGCCAACGCTCGACACGCTGGACATCTCAGAGGAGAGCTGCCCGCTCGCAGTGATCTGTTCCCATCTTGACCAACATGGCAATGGGCCTCCTCCTCCTCCTCCTCTTCCTGTGTGAAGCTGCTCTCTCTCTCTCTCTCTCAAATTTCGCACAACACGATACGGGGTTTGTTTTTTTGTTCCCCACATCCTGAGTGGGGTCTTTGTTTTCCCAAAACACCCTCTCCTTCCCACCCACCTCCCGCTCCATCTTCCATACAGCACAATATTATTCCTACCACACACCATACCATACCATAGTTCCTACCACACATACCATACCATACCATACCATACCATACCACACCATACGTACCATACCGTACCATACCATACCATGGCGTACCATAGCATACCATATCATATCACACCAATGCCACACCGTACCATGCCATACCATACCTCCAATACCATACCATACCATATCATGCCATACCGTACCATACCATACCTACGAGGAGGGTATCGGAAAACCATACTATTTGCATGGTTTCGTGCCCCTCCCACCCTTCCAGGGAGGCCCCGCCTGAGCGAGGAGGGTATCCGAAAACCATACTATTTACATGGTTTCGTGCCCCTCCCACCCCTGCAGGGAGGCCCCGCCTGAGCGAGGAGGGTATCCGAAAACCATACTATTTACATGGTTTCGTGCCCCTCCCACCCCTCCAGGGAGGCCCCGCCTGAGCGAGGAGGGTATCGGAAACCATACTATTTACATGGTTTCGTGCCCCTCCCACCTCTCCAGGGAGGCCCCGCCTGAGCGAGGAGGGTATCCGACAACCATACTATTTACATGGTTTCGTGCCCCTCCCACCCCTCCAGGGAGGCCCCGCCTGAGCGAGGAGGGTATCGAAAACCATACTATTTACATGGTTTCGTGCCCCTCCCACCCCTCCAGGGAGGCCCCGCCTGAGCGAGGAGGGTATCGAAAACCATACTATTTACATGGTTTCGTGCCCCTCCCACCCCTCCATGGTTTACATGGTTTCGTGCCCCTCCCACACCTCCAGGGAGGCCCCGCCTGAGCGAGGAGGGTATCCGAAAACCATACTATTTACATGGTTTCGTGCCCCTCCCACCCCTCCAGGGAGGCCCCGCCTGAGCGAGGAGGGTATCCGAAAACCATACTATTTACATGGTTTCGTGCCCCTCCCACCCCTGCAGGGAGGCCCCGCCTGAGCGAGGAGGGTATCGGAAAACCATACTATTTACATGGTATACGAAGAGGTAACTCTTCGCCAAGTTTCGTAGCCCTCCCCCCTTCCAGCGGGGCCCCGCCAAAGCGAGGAGGGCATCAAGAAAATGGGTCCCACGAAACCGTTAATCTCTTTATGTGGGGAACTCCGTTAGCATAATTTTTTTGAATTCCAGGTCCGCCATAGCACGCGTCCGTGGAAAGAGATACGAATTCAGCGCAGTGGGAAGGGATGGGTGGGAGGGGTAGGATGCCAGATGTGTGTCGCGTGCGCCTACCTTGCTCCCCCCCCCTCTCGCCTCCCCTCCCCCTCCCCACCCCGATCCCCCACCCCTCGGCCCCCTTCTCCCCTCGCCTTCCTCATCGTCTCCCCGATCACCGCCCCCTATTCTTCCTCCCCCTCCTCCCCCCCCAAAGCCTCCCAAAGCCCCTCAGCCCCGCCTCCCCTCTGCCCTCGCCCTCCCCCTCCTTCCCCTCGTTCCGCTTCGGGGCAACTGTGGGGGTGCTCCGAGGCCCTCGGAAGTTCCCAAAGATCTCCAGAAAGGTCTTCGGGGCCTCTCGACGAGGGCAGAGGAGAACGAGGGGAAAGACGGAAGAGGAAAAGAGGAATAGAGAAGAGGTTTTGCCCCGCCCCGGTCCCGATCCACTCTCTTTCTCCCCTTCGCCCCAGCCCCGCCTCCCCTCACTCCCGCCCGGACGACGACGACCACCGACGACGACGACGATGGCGGCGGCGGCGGCTGCGACGACGACGACCAACGACGACGACGACGACCGACGACGACGACGACGACGACCACCGACGACGACGACGACGACCAACGACGACGACGACGACGACGAAGACGACGACGACCGACGACGACCAACGACGACGACGACGACGACGACGACGACGACGACGACGACGACGACGACGACGACGACGGCGATCCTCCAGGCTGGCGTCCGCGCCGGAGGCCGCGGTCTCGTTGTCCGCCTCGTCCTCGGCGGGGCTGCCGGCGTCTCGCCGGCGGCGCCCGTGGCGGCGGCCCTGCGCCCTCGCCTGCGCGCAGAAGGAGGAGGAGGAGGAGGAGGAGGAGGAGGAGGAGGAGGAGGAGGAGGAGGAGGAGG